TCATACCTTTTTTGATAAAACCACAAGATATAATGCATATGAAAATCATCCGATTTTATTACTGTTTGGGAGACAGATAATTGATAAATGCAGGTGGGTCCTATAAGAAGAATAGAAACTGATGAATAGCTTTGGTTCTACATTTTATCTTAGAGCTTACATTTTCTGAGTTCACTAGATCATATTCATCTGAAAAATTAACGGTTACCAAACATTCCCTGTGGAGCTGACATAAAAACATAGCCTCTGCATAAATTCCTAAATGTGATGGAACAATTAGGGAAATATTCCAACCAAATCACAAACTTTACTAATTTCTGAAATGGCGTAATATAGTGGCTTTGGCCTCGAACTGAATTTAAAAACAAATAAAAGATGTGTATGCAATTGGAGACTATTTAACATAAATAGTATGTTAAGTTTCCTTTACCACATTCATATATATCCAGTAATCATACTACAAAACCCTCTGAAGGGAACAAACGGGTATAAAATTTGCCCCTTGGCCAGGATAAGAAAGAAGTGATCCTAAGATCAGTGTTGAAAAGCACTTGCAAGCTTTACCTGTCTTCATGACCCCTACTTGAAGTTATAACTGAGGGTCTTAGATCCCCGAGAAAGAGAGAACAAGAAAGTCTACGATTACAATATGGATGATGTTACAGAAATACAAAACTTCTCATACAAAAATGCAGAGGAGAGAGAGGTCACAAAGATAATTTAAGTTTAAGTCGAATGGGATAATACATTGTGAAATGTCCCCTAGGAATAACGACATGAACCTGACAGAGGAAGCATTCCCAATGATATCTAGATTTATTTTACAGCTTCATCTAAGTCTTAAACAGGAGACCAAGAGTTATGTCCTTAAAAGAGACAATGTTAATACCCCAGTAACTGAAGTAGGAGTCAGAGATAACTGTCTGAGCTTTCAAAATCCCTCGGCTTTTATGATTCCACTTTCCTTGGCTAGAGACTGGCAGGATAGGTCAAGTTCATCTCTTAAATTGAAAATCTTTAGGTAGAAGATATTGTATTAGGGGCATCATACATTTATAGAAGGACATGAGTACAAAGTCAGCATGAAGGTGACATCTGTTGGACTCTGCTGTTGCCAGTCACCCTCCAGGACGATGACTGTCAAAGCCTACAGTAGCCTATGCTGTATGACTCGCTGCCCGCTGCTCCCAGGAAACAGTCCTCAAGACACTTCCTTTTGCTTTTTGATATCAGCTTCATTCTGTTTCAACACCTGTTTTTAAAACATTCTTCATTCTCTTCCTTTGTCACTATTCCTTTCTCTCTCTAGCTTTAGGTCTTAGATGAAACTCAAAATGCTTTTGAGATGAACGATATCTTCTCAATACTGTTGTTGTTGTTGAGTGCTATCAGGTTGATTCCAGTAGAACTGCCCCATAGGGTTTCTTGACTCTAATCTTTATGGGAGCAGATCTCCAGGTTTTTCTCCCGAGGAGCTGCAGTGTGGGTTTGAACCACCAATCTTTTGGATAGCAGCGAGTGTTTTACCATTGCACCACCAGGGATTCATTTTTCCTATAAGCATCCCAAAATGCAAATGTTCTTATGCAGGTTTTTGCACTAGGGAAAAATGTAAGATTAAGTGTACCGTAATTTGGATTTTTAAAATGAGAGATTAAATGAATAGTCAATGTGATATGAAATAAAATCCACAGGGGAGATGTCTTAGGCTGGGTTCTCTAGAGAAGCAAAACCAATAAAGTGTATAAATATATATATAGAGAGAGATTATATCAAGGAAACAGCTTAAGTGATTGTAGAGGCTAGAACGTCCCAAGTC